TTTTCCGGGTTTTCTCCTTGCCAATAACGACTGAATAGGAGGCCAGTTCCCCATAAAAATCCTCCTGGAAGACATTATTTCCCGCGTGCGCGTATAGGTCGTTCGGATACGGCTGGCTAATCGGTCGCATAGCGATCATAAACACATGTCTAGTCGGAGAAAGAGCCTATATAGAGCTGAAATCTCCATATAAACAACACCTGAGAAGAGAGAGAAAGAGAAAATTCGAATAACGTGGAACGTATCTAAGCGTTATAGGGGGTATACTGTATTATTATTTATTTTAATTAAGGAAGAAGACAAAATCGTGGGATATCGGTCTGTCACTTTTATATTTTTAACTATTATAAAATGGGAAAGTCTAAATTTTGCAGGATAAAAATGGTTTTTATAAAAAATTGTAAATGCTGATAACGAGTAAAATCGTTTTTAAGTCTGACTATACCTGAGACAAACAAGACCCCCTTTATCTTTCCACCGTCGACCTTTATTCACAACAAGTTAATAATATCTACCTCTTTAATGGACAAACCTCTGTCCAAAAGTTCAGAAGATTCGACAAAAATCACAAGTGTAATTAAGATTCAAAGAAGGTGAACAAATTCGTGCCACACAAACTAACATTTATACGTACAGAAATAACCCCCATATTTTGGTATCTCTCGACGTTTCAATGTGTTATAAGTCCAAATATATAAAATTCTTGGGGGTCATTTTTTGACCAATCGCCATACTTTCCCTGTTTTATATATAATAGCCGAAAATGAAAACTTGACATAGTATCGATCCGTTTGTGTCAGGTTCTTTCATTCAGAAGGCCACACTTTTAGTCATGTATTTTAATACATGACTAAACGTGTGGCCTTCTGAATGAAAGAAACTAACAAATAGACACGATAAATAGTGCTATATTTTAACTAATTGACGTTCAAGCTTAAATCTGTCACATGTAGCCACCAGAGAAAAAGGAGACAGAATCATTGAATGCTGGTGGTGAGTCGGGGTTAAGAAATGAGTTTTTTACATGGAGTTATTTGGGTTTTTCACGTGTGTAACACTTAAATAGAGGCTAGTTTCCGACAAAAAGTTACTCCGAGTGGCTGATTACCCAACAAATTTCTAAAACAGTTAAAATTTAACATCTATACAAAATAATCTTTATACTTACGAATAACTGTAACCTTTTAAATAACGAATATAAAAGAGTTCTAGAACAACTAGAAAGCTTCTAACTTCTATCAGAAAGTGAAGTAAAACAATTAAAACTAGAAAAATAAATAAACAAATTAAAGTAATTACCCGTGACACATCAGTAATGAGTTAAAATTTATGAATACTTTTAATTAAAATTTTAATTGGATATCTGTTTTATGTCATTTGCAATTAAAATAAAGTCAAAGTTCATTAATCGTTGCGTGACGTTATTAAATTTTGTTTTCGAATGTTTAGGATTAATATTGTTTCAAAATATATGCAATTTCATAAAGTTATATAAATGTTTTATAAACTTTTGAAGATAACAACATTATTTTTCGGTGTTTTCCAATTACTGGTAAGCTTTGTCATGTGTTTGTAGATATAGTACATTGTATCGGATGCTATATACTAGTTTAGTGTGATAGGTTAATGCGATAAACCTAAGGCAGATGCCTCCAAAGAGGACATTCTACAGATGTCTTGATTTAGGTGTTAGACACAGAAAAAACCCGGGAATTTCTTGTGTTTGTAATGTTCTTACTCAACAATGCCAACGTGGCAGGGTAGCTGCATAGTATTCTTCAAATTCCCTTTAAGGTGTGTAACAGCTAAATAGGAGTAAGTTTCCTGTAGAGTCCTTCTGGAAGGCAGCTCTCAGACAAATCGTCTATGTGTTGCTGCATTAGAAAGTGACACATGAGCAATCTGCCAAACGTCTGTCTATGGCAGAAGGTGCGTGTGAGAACTATGAAGGACAACAGAAGTTGTCGTTTATCGCATGGGTTCTCACAACTGATGGTATATAAACACCATCATATGTGGGAATCCATATTATAATTACACAAATTATAGGTGTATATAAAATGATAAACTTACCATTAATCTTTATTAATTTTTATCAGTTAAAATTTAAATAACTTTTACTGTATATTTTAGATGCGATTTTTTGTTCTTAAGTACGTTTTGTCTTCATTCAGTACTTAGGTGTATTAAATTGATAACATTTCAGACTGTTATAAAGGAAGGATTGAAGCTTCGAATGAAAAGGTGGCAACTCCCAAAGGGTATACCCCTTGTGGGAACAATATATGTCTAATGAACCAATACGTCTACGCGCGACAATTCACGAGGATATAGGCACCCGAAAATTATTTGTATGGGTCACGTGATCGCCTGTTCGACACAATTCAAGCTCCAAATGAGGGGTGGCGACCCCCCGTATTGTAGACCTGTGCGAACAAAAAAGGCAAACGAACCATATTCCTATTCGCGATTTTTCATGGGATATAGCCCTGTAAACAACCGCCTACGTCATTTCCGGCGATCGCTCTCTCCGCTAAACTTATCTCATTTAACAGGCAGTCTAGCAAGCTAATCATATATTCTATACATCGTCAAAGACTAAAAAAACTGCCCATGAAAAATGTCATAAAAACAGATTATACATTCACCTTCAACAGAGGCAAATGTTGATTATTTACTCAACAGTGAAGGACGGAGGATGGCCCCGGACACGATGGCTCTGGGCGATATCCGTCCAGGGCCATCCAGGGCCATCGTGTGGGAGCGGTGAAGTATGGATATATCCGTTAAATTCTTTTCGGTTTTTTTTTTTTACTGTTTTCGCCCTGTGCGCACTAAGAGGGCCTTTTATGGCAGACACATTATGGGTTTGGCCAGGACTACAATGGGGTGACCGAGTGGTAAAAGATGTGGTCCGACATATCCGAATAGACCAGCCCGATAAAATTCCTGGGGATTTCTTGACCCATCCGGATTCGATTCCGGGTCCTCCAGAGGGTAAGGCTGCCACCTTGACCGCTTGGCCATTTGGCCCAATTCTTTTCGGGGTATCCCCAAAAACTATAACAAAAAATTCACATAAAAGATGAAATATGTAACAATAAAAAAACACTTTTCTTTACTAGACATAACTGAACTGTTTACAAAATCTTTTTCCGAAATGGTAATGAGAACAAACACATGTAAAAATACTTTAAAAATTTTGCACATTTATTCTCTACTACTTTGGGATAGCACCATACTCGACAACTCCACTGTAGAAAGGTTATGGGTCGTGGCTTACGGCTTTATTTTGGCCAACAAGCTCGCTATCCTCGCTGCAAGCTGCAAAAACGACACGTAGTACTAACTGACCGTTAGTACTACGTGTCGTTTTTGCAGCTTGTCCAAAAAACCTAACCTACCCCTCCGGAGGTGACCATCACTATTTAAGCTAATAGAAAACCGTTTTGAAAGCAGATTATACACTCACCTTCAAGAGCATCTACTCCAGCATCTCCTGCAACGTCCTTTCGCTACCTGGCGACGCCTAGTCTCTTCCTCATGTTGCATAGGTGAGGACGGGGTAAGGCCTCTGGTCCCCGTCTCGGTTAGGTCCTGGAAGTCGATGATGAAGGTTTTTATAGCAAGCCTATTATGGGTTCAGCCAAGCCCATAGTGGAGCGACTGGGTGGTGAGGGACGGAACCCATTTTTTGTAATATTTCCAGTTACTTGTATTTTTGAAGTAAGGTAGGTCTATCTGCTTTTTGTCACTGTGTGACTATATTTAAAAAATAATAAAGATAAATTATAGAGATTAATCTTTAAGAAAGTACATGGTATTTGTTAAATGTCAAAAAAAATATTTTTTTGCGGTACAATAAACAATTACATCATAATTTCATCCACTTTTCACTTATAGGAGAGTTTTTTGTTAACAGAATAATACAACATTTTGCAGTTACGACTCTCACAGTGAGGGGTGAGCCAGAGCTTGTATTTCAGTGGAAAAGAAAACACGAAGTTTTTTCTTTTCTGACCCTTAAAGATAATGCCTATCTGTGAAACTTAACTAAACCCAAACATCAATCGATGTAATTTGAGATAATTTCTGCAGACTTAAAATTTGATATGATTGTCTTTATACATGTACATATTGATAAATTTTTATAATTACTATTCTTCTGCCATTACATGCCATTTTTATCCAAATATGCATTTGGATAACTGATCCATCCTAATATACATAAATGGTTTAATGGGGTCAGAAGTTCTTTCTACACCCTGTTTTTCTATTACTGAAACAACCTTTTCTGAGTCTATAAATGCTCTTTGCTTCCAATCTATTTTTAAATTATCATAGACAGTCCACAAATTTCGAACATATCTCTCCGTGTTCAATTAAAGACTAGTCTTTCATATTATTTTGTAATTTGTATAAAGAATAGGTGAGAATCCAGGGGAGTTGTTTTCATATAAAATAATATTCGTAAGATAAATAGATCAATAAGAAAGTTATCGAGGTTTTATCAACTTTTAACTATGATATACCATCTGTCAAGTTAGACATATTTAAGGAAGATTGCAGAAAATACTTAAATTAGATAATGATTTTGCTGCACGCACGATCTTGATTAAATTTGGGCTCTTTGGTGCTGCAGAGAATGGTCAATCTTCCCACAAAATAGGTAAATGAGAATACATAAACGAATATTCTCAATTACTGTGTTTATTTATATGACATGACGTTCTTATAAACGGTTAATGTTTCAAAATATCTACAAATTTATATTAATTAACAATTCGTGACAGATTTTATATACTAGTAAACAATGGGCGTTTAATATAGTTTATCACTTATACTTTAGCACGATAAATGATAAAATAATTATATCTTAACTGCAATTATTTTAGAGTACTTATGACATCATACGAATAAATTATCATTCTTTTATTGCGACGTTATTAAATATTTTAAGCGTAACTTATATAAGCACTGTCCACAGGTTATATAAGCACTGTATATTACAAACGAGATACTGTATCACAGAAAGACATGACGCTGCCTATGAATCTTTTGCGTAAGATCTTCAATAGCAATTTAAAGTAAGTGATTTTATTATTTATAATATTTTATTTTGCAAAATATATTTAATAATAAAATTATAACAATTAATCAATTTGCTTATGGGGTACTTTTTGATGGACAACTGGCTCCTGTTTAGATGTATAAGGAAAACGAAAAATGCTTACCTAGGCCAATCCGTTGGTGAAGAGAAAACTCTTGACTTTATAGTTTGTGTGTATAATAATACGCTTGAATTTGGATTGTATAAATGATAGAGCCCTTGATACAGCATGTTTTCTAATTGTATTGGCTTTAATATTATTACTTATTGTTATCTAATCTTTTCTTGGTTACGTGGTCAATCTATTGCTCTGAGACTCCGGATCGAATCCAAGCGAAAAACATTAAAATTTCTTAAGAGCAGTAAGTTCTTCATAGATACATAAGAAATTGATAATTGATAGTTACTTAGAAACTGAGGTACTTTAATTCCCATGACTCAATCTCCTACTATGCAAACTTCTAGTAGCTTCGATGCATTCGTTATTAATTTTCGTTATTCATCATTACGTACAATGTTCAAAGATATTTAAAACTATGTTTGAAGTATTACTGTTTGTATTACTTACATTTGTATTATGCACAAATATTTCATTTAGAACTATTAAAATTTTCTTATTCTTTCAGAAACTGGACTTTGCTTTTACTCATAATTATTCAACCTGTTTTTGCATGTTGGGGGAACAATAATAATAATAGGCCCATAATTAGAGAATACGAAGGGTAAGATATGTGGACTGTAAAATCTTTTTGCAAATACAGTATTTGAAATGCTTCGGATTAAATTTTTGATAATATTAACTTTAATATTTTCAGAAAAATTTTTATTGCAGCTCCTAAAACTTTATCTTTAGATACAAATGAAATGATATCCATAATAGCTTATAATGTTCATAAGAATGAAGTAATAGACGTTACAATAAAGGACTATCCTGGAAGGACGAAAGTTTTTTCATACACGAGTGCTGTTTTAAAAAGTGGTGTGTATAAAATATTTAAAATTTTTCTTATTAAAAGTAGTTATAAATATAAAAATAATTTTATAATTAAGTGAACATATTTTTTAAATTTTCATGCTTTTTACAATATGTAATATGTTTAGAGTTTGTTTGACTTATTCTGTGAAGTAACTCTTTTAAATGGATATATATTCTCTTATGCCAATGCGAAGATACTAAAGGGTTAATTACAGCTAATTAGTCTGTTAAATTAATTATAATTCAAACCCGAATCTTTACCGGAAACTTCCTGGCTGCTCACCAAATGATAAGATAACAAACGTATCAAATATTCCTCTGAATCAACAGTCATTTCGATGTTTGGACTTATGTTACAACCTTAATCAAGACATTCGATTATTAATTAATGATAGGAAACTGTCAAACGGAGAGAATTATGAAATAAGACACGCCACGATAACAGCTAGAAAATATCTATAATTCGTCGATCGTCCGGTTACTGAATGCCCATATCTGACAAACCAGGACATTAAATCAAAGTCTCCTGAATCAATTCTCACGCGCCATGCCGTATTAAAAAAGCTCGAAATTAAGCCTCGGGGCGTACAGTACTGTATATCCAAGAAGAGTTGAACCGAACTCTTGTCCAAGCCGAAACTGTCGCCTGTCTTTATAAAGGCCGATAATGATCCTGCATTACGAAAGGGCCACATCTCGTCCCCACTGCAGAGGTATTAACATTAAACAGTTTATGTAAATACTCTCTCTCTGTCCATTAGTTATTAGTTAAATTTGTTTTGTTTAACTGGGGTTGATATCAACTATTACCCGGTCACCAGCCTACCTATCGACCTCCAACTCGAATGTTTTAAGACCCTTATATTGTCCAGTGAGCAGGTCTTACCGACTCGTCGCAGAGTAAGTGTTCTATAGGGACTCCCCCTTGGCCCTCAATTTCTCACACGACATCTTTATGTGTTATATAATAAGCATAAATAGAGAACATCTTAGTAAATAAAATGAGTAATGAGTAAAATCCAAAACAATTTGAAAAACCTCAGAAAGTTTTGGGGACAGTCTATTCAAATTTTTTGATTCTCATATCTCGATATCCAGCAATCCCATTGTTGGGGTCACTAAACTCACAATAAGCCAGGTAAATGACCCTAAGAGAAAAAGTCTATATGAAAATGCAAGCTATTAATGTTCAGTTTTGTAGAGTCTAAGGACCTATTAAGCGTTAAAAGTTAGAGCCAAAAGTCTAATTAAAGCACGGAAATCAAATAAGTTTACTTTCTTAAAAATAATAGTAAGATATAAAATTCTATGTTTCAAACATAAAAATAAATAGATAAAATGTCTACGTTACAGGCATTCCACTTTTTGTGAACTTTAACTTGCCTTCTAAAGAACTTTTAAAGTACGTACAAATTGACGAATTTGGTACACCACATCTCTACGTTGTTGTAGAAGCAAAGATAAAAGGAAAGTTTAACGCAATTAAAAATGTAGCTGTTGACTACAGTAGAGACTACGTTTTTCTTCAAACGGACAAACAAATTTATAACCCTCGACAAACAGGTAATACTTAAAATATGAAATTATTAAATGTAAGTAAAGTGTGTACGATGCTATAAATGAACTAGTCACAAGTTTATTGTATTGAAGAGCAGTATTTGAATTTTATGAATTTAATATTTTTATAGTACATATTCGAATTATTGCGCTGAACGAGAAGCTGTTACCTGAAAACTATAAAGTTCGAGTACAGATAAAGGTAATATACAAAGATTAATATAATTAACAAATTTAGAACTTAGTACACATACAAAATTGAAGAAATTGTACCGGGCAAATGAAAGTAGTAAACACAACATATAGGCACCTTATTTTGGTGTTAGATAGGTGAAGATACACCAGAAAACTCTAATTATCTAGTTTGTTGGTGATGGAAGAACCCATGTTTAGAGTTCAGTGATTTTATATACTTGTCCACTGATGACTAAATGATAAAGAAAAACAACAGCACACCTCACAACTGGCTTTTACTTGTAGCTTTCTGCTGGTGTTTGAAGTTTTATCTGGATCTGTTATAAACGTAATATTTACGTATTTTTTAATAATCTTATCTAGGTTTGTAAACCTACATATTCACCAATAATCTAATAAATAAGAATTAGTAAACACTGAATTTTGGTCACAGGTTAGAGCCAGAACAACGTGTTAATTATTAATGTAAACTTTTTTAAAATTTCTTTTCTGTATATAATACTTAAATAAATGCAAGTTTTCTATAAAAAAAAATCTACCAAGGAGGCACATTCCTATGACAGATCACTAAAGTTGTGCGTCGCTGTATCTAATCAAACTAAATAAACCAAAGATAATGCAAAGATTACCTTTGACCATTTAATTATAATGTTAAATTTTACTACTAATTAGAAATAAGTCTGTGACAGATTAAAAAAATTATTCATCTCATAAATATTAATGAAAAAAATTCAATTGAAGAAGATCAGCGCAATATTGAATAAGTAGACACGTAACTAAAAGTTAATTACAGTAGAGCGTCGTTTATCCGAATCAATTGGGAATTCGGATAAACCGGTTATGTACGAATTATTTTTCGGATAACCGGTTATGTACGAAAAAATATATTAACCTATCTCGTGTTGAAATTCTTCTCCGTTGCGTGTCGCTTCGCGTTAAATTTTCGTCGATGTTAAACCTAACGAAAACTTTTTAAAGTAATAATCATGGCTATTGTATCTTTAAAAATGATTTTTTTTATGTTTTACAAACGAAATATATACATTGAAAAATATAAAAACAAATAAAAATTATACTTTAGTCCGACTGGAATTCTTTCGGATAAACGACGCTCTACTGTATTAATTTACCTTATAAAAATGTTGTATCATCTAAAAACAGTATAAAAACATGTGATTTTTTTCATCTTAAAGTATTTTTGTTTGTTTTCAGAATCCTCAAAATATTATTGTTCAAGAAACCCTTCTCACAGACCCATGGAAGCAATCATCTGGCCAATTTCCTAGAATTTATTTTACCCTTCCTTCATTTTCCATATTAGGAAAATGGAAAATAGAGGCCTCATACGGAATTCAGGTAATTATTTTTCGTATAAGTATTCTAATAACCTGTATATAATTGTATTTAATTGGATGAAACATAGTTTCAGAAAAAGACGTCTGTGTCATTTAATGTAGAAGAATACAGTAAGAGAAGTTAATAGTTAGATTATACAGAATGACCCAATAGTCAGTTTACCTTATAGAAATACTACCTTACAAACCAACCATTCACTGGGCAATTAAAATTAAAAAGTACTGGTAGTTTGTTGCGGTTAGGGACTCACTGTTATGTGGTTTTCCAACTTTTATTCACTTGTTTGAAAGTAAATAGTTGTCTGTTTTCATTAAAAAGTTTCTTGTGACCATTTTCTTGGTAGTTCACATAATTGTTGAATTGCTTTCACACATCAGTTTAATCCTGGCAAATTTGCAAAACTCAACGAATTCCGTTTAAAAGTCAAAGTATAATTCATATTAAAAGTATTCTCTAAGCATGGTTCACTGAATTTTGGGTCAACTCTTCGCAATTTTTAAAAATATCAATTCTACGAATTTTTTTACAACTTTAGCATTACCAACATTTATTGTGAAGCTTCGAGTTCCAAATGCGATTTTGTTCAAAGATGAAAAAATTGATATTACTGCAAAAGCTGAGTAAGTGTGACAAAGTAATAATATGTAAAAATATGAATTATTTTAAATAATTTGAAATCTTAAAATGTATTTTTTCGTTCTTTGCATCCCCTAGTATAAATACCTGTTTGTATAAAACTAGATCAATAAATGACCTGACTGGCAATAATTCAAATTATTTATGGCTTCGCTATTATATAATGTTGCAAGATGAATTAATTTTGAAAGCTTTGTAGGATGTAGGACTAGCGATATGTTTAACGTGACTTGAATTATTTACAGGTATATTTATGGAAAGAAAGTTAATGGAAATGCCGAGTGTAAATTAAACATCGTGATGCATAATAAAAAGATACTTCAGGCAGGAATTAAAACTGTGACAGTGAGTGAATTTTTGTATTATTTCTTGTTGTCTAATGAGTAACTTTATTTGATAAATCTGAATTATTTTATTTTATTTTTAACTGTCCCTTAAGTGTACAACTAGTCCACAATAGAAATAACATAAACGAAGATTGTCCACCAGTGGCCGAGTGGTCTTCGTACCCTAAACACTGGGAGTTCGGTCGTGGGTTCGCGCCGCGATCGGACAGGCTTGGAGTTTTCCGGGTTTTCTCCTTGCCGATAACGACTAAATAGGAGGCCAGTTCCCCATAAAAGTCCTCCCAGAAGGCATTAGTTCCCCTCGCGTAACATCGCGCCCCAGAGAATGCAACGGGAAACCACTCTGGGTACTAACTTTCCCTAGTACACACCTTGGCGTATTATTAATCTGCGCCGGGTGTCGCCGACGTCAGTAATCTGATATGGCACGAAGAAGAAGCGAAGATTGATATATCGAAATTAACTTGGAGTAATTTTAATGGATTCATCAACCTGTTAAAATTTCTAAGGGCATTCAGAGTTCGTTCTTCCAAATCAACACTGCCTGTTCAACCATCAAGAGCTAGTACTAATTACTGTATAATACTGTGATTGTGTTGCTGGCATTTTAAAAAGTTATCTTAATTTAAAATGTAGATAAATAATATAATTAAAATTTGTTCTCTTCCTTAGCTATACTCTTTCATAATGACGAGTTTAATTGGTCTGAACTCAAATATATGTTTTGTGTTTGAAAATAATATTTTTTGAGTTTTTGTTATATAAACAAGGTAATAAATAAATATTCATTTTACTGTATTTAATTGCAAAAGAATACAAATATTGAGGAAATTAATTCCCCCATTTTCCTGTATTAGAACATTGTGTCCTTGTCCTTAACTCCGAAACTGTTTATTATAAGAACGTTTTATTAAGCCACTTTTCTAACGAGGTGTTCCATCGTGATCTTGAATGATGCAATATTTCATTAAGAAAATGGTTTGTTAGAGTCTAAGAAGTAAAAAGTGTAATAGATATACGATATGTGTATACATATTTAATTATCAAATTAATTATGCACACTCTAAAATTTAAAAATTATAGTATTGAATTAGCTTTATATTTTTAGTTCAAAGATGGAGAAGCAAAGATTTTACTATCTACTGCAGAACTTTTAAAACAATCAGGACTTAAGAATTTTCCACACAACAGTGAATTATCCATCAATGTTTCTGTCACTGATGAAGCAACAGGAATAAGAGAAAATGCAAAAGAGGAACGTATTAAAGTTTCTTCATCTCCATACCTTTTATCACTTAAGTATATTAAATCCTATTACATACCAGAATTCGGAAATGATATAGTAGTAAGTACATAAAAAAGGTATTAAAAAGTACTTGCTTAGTCATTATCTAACAGATGTTTGTGAAAACGGTTTTGAAAATGTATATTTCAGGCTAATGTCCTGTACATAAATGGCAAACCAGCGACGAATATCTCAGTTTCAGTTAAAATAACAAATTCCAATAACAGATATATCAATACAATATACAGGAAAAAACTAACGAAAATGGTGACGTTTTTATGGGATTTACTCCACCTTTTCGTGATACATATCTGCAAGTGACAGTAAGTCTTTCTTAAATTTCGTTTAATGTTATATCTTTACAAAACCAAATCATGTTTAAATAAATAAACATGATTTTTCTTTGTGACAGTTAGCATTCAATTTGCTTAAATTGAAATTTTTCTTCAAAAAATGCATTTTGTAAATTTAATTCCTTCTATGCCGTAAGGGCTGTTACAAAAATTTTATCATGTTCAGCGTGGATTTTTTAGGTTCGATATAAAGATCATATATTAGTCAAGAAATGGACTTGACACAATTATATAAATACAAATTTCTGAGCACTCTTGTTTGTGGAACCTCACAATGGGAAACTGGTCGTCAGAAAATTTTCAACAGAAATTTCAATTACAGATAACAATACATGAAATCTTATAACTGAAGAGTGCGCAAGAATTGTTGTCGTTAGAACTACTGGAAACACCCCTGAGCACTCCTTTTATTACAAATATTACATATTTTTAACTTTATCAGGTGACAACAAATGATAGCAGATATGAAAGTGGACAACAAGTAACTGAAACACGACGAATACATAAATTTGATTACAGAAAATTTATAGCGCTCTGGAGATACTATTCAATGCGAAAAGCAAAAGTACGTAAAAAGTCTTTAGTATTGTATAATACTTTTTAAAATAAAAATAGTTTTTTTAAAAATTCTAGAAATACATTTCTTATCTTCCACACAGATTGGTTCAACCTTGTCTGTATACTTTAAAGGTAACACAAATGGTCGAATTGGAAATGTATTTTTCATAGTAAGTATAAATAATTGAATTTTCTTAAACACGTTTCTAATGACGTTTTTATTGATGAGGAAAAGCAGAGAAACATGCGGGTAATTCGGAAAAAGAGAAACTCTGACCCAACATGTTTGGAACTGACATCCATAGATCATACAGTCGACCCCCTATAAGATCATAGATACGTTCCATTCTTTAGGAATCCGATTTCTTACGAGTCGTTCCAATCACAGCCCGACACGTGTGAAGTTTACGGACTACGGCTGTTTGAAAGGTTTTCTTTCATAAAATTAATCGATTCTAGACTAATCCGACTCAACATTTCCAAAATACGTATATATGTTTTGGAAATAATCCGTATAAACTACGCTATAAACAAAAAATTGTAGGATTACTTACCGAGTGTGCACCATTCGACATAGTCATTGCTAAAGCTTGTTTTCGTCGCGAAGCAGCACACCAAACCACGACTGATTTCTGATAACTTATTTTTCTGCGAAAACTTCGTTGAACTTCGGAGACATCATTAATATAAATAATTTTTATCGCCGTTGAATAAGAAATGTTTCTTTCACAAGAAATGTATAAAATTACAGTACTGTATTAAACTTACGGTACCGAATTTACATACTGTACTGATGATAGCGTAAAATCTCCGTAGCGTGACACCACGCGACGGAAAAAATATATATAATTATAATAAAGTTACAATGAATTAAGTTAATAATATAATTATATGTACAGCGCCTAATTTATATATAATATTGTACAGGCAATAGTAATCTCTCCGTAGCGTGGCGCTACGGACGGCGAGAAAGTAGTTCGGCTGCCCAATGACGTTTCACGTAATTATAGAAGTTTTTTTTATTTTTTTTTATAGATACCGTCTCAATTTTTTCGCAGTTTTATAGGAATCGTAATTATAGGAACCGTAATTATAGGGGGGTCTACTGTACTTGGAAAATTGTATGCTCGGATTAGATCGCAATTCTCCCAGATCGGTTTTCTGGTATCTTAACTGTCTTGTACTTTTTTTCATTTTGGAAGTTTTTACAATGCATATAAAAACTGCAACTGTAATTTATAATAATTCATACAAATGTCATTTCATATTTATAAACAGGTTATAGCTCGTGGAAGAATTCAACTTATGAGAAATTTCTACTCAACCTTAATACAAATTCAATGGAGACAATTAAGTTTTGTTATTACGGCTGAAATGTCACCAGTTTTTAAACTTCTGGTATTCATGTTAGTGGATAAAGAGCTATTCGTTGATTCGATAAGAATAGAAGTAGAAGCAAAATGTCAGCCAAAATCTGAGGTAAAATGTCTTAAATTTGTGTATAATATAAACTGAACAAAAATAAACGTGTTATAGAAAATAGAAAATAAAATTAATTTGTTTATTTAACCTATATAGCAACAAACGTCAGTATTTCGAAATGTTGTATTCTTTTTGATGTAGTAGAAAAATCTCTAACAATGAGTTTTGTAGCTTTCCCGGCTGTTATAACATTTTATTAACAAATAACTTTTATATTCTTAAGTGTAATACATAAAGTTGTATTTTACGCAATTTCTTATAAAATTTAATTAAAAATTACGTCTGTATTATTAACTATAAAGTAAGGACAAAATGCATTATACTGAAAATAGTGTGAGCTTTCAAAACTATTACAAATACATTTAAGTATTTAAATTTTTATGTCCACCTCTGCCCAAGATTTTTCCACCCCTCTAACTTTAGTCACTGAAATTTGAAAGTACCAATTTTTTATGGAATTTGACAGTGTCATGCATATATTCAAGCTATCTTGCCAAATTTCATTGAATAAGTAATCTTTACTACATCTTGAGATATAAAACGAAATAGATACCAACATATGTATGCAGACACACATGCTCACATATACGGAGTTCTTTTTTCGTTTTCATTTTTGAGTTCAGAGGTTCTTCAAAATTTGGTATTTGCAAAATTCTTTGAGAGTCAAATTTTATACGAATCCAGTTCTTTCCCATGTTACATACATAACGGCTAGGAAAGTAAAAGGAGAATAGTGACTTTCGTTTAATTTCGAAGTGTGTCCTATTGAAGTGTGAAGTATAATATTAATATATTATAAATTTGTTTTTTTTTGTTATTTCAAAAATGGTAAAGATTGCAATAAATAAACTGACAGAAAGAATAAAAGCAACTGAGTCACAGTTTGCATCTGACAAAATCTTGGCTGAATGGAAAATTCTGAGTTTCTAATGTCTAATACAGGCAAGCTTTTCAACGATGAAATTTGTCTTAAAAGTCATTCATACTTTCGTTGAATTGATTTTTCTGAAGAATTCTATCTTTAGTTATTAATTTTATAGGTAAACGATGACTATTTGATTAAATTTGTTACAAAACACATGTGCAAGATTAAACTTTTTAGAAGTTTAATATTATAGAATATATAAAATTCTGGATGTTTCTAAAATATTTTCCAAAATAATCAGATATACATCCACAAATTCACTAGCAATGAGTAACATGCCTGCTGTCATATAGTTTAATCAATTACTTGAGTTTGATGGAAATCAAATGTGATATACCAAAGGGAGATGTCTACTGATAGGCTTTATATGAGAAACTTGTCGAAATCAAGTAATAGATACATTAAGAAGACCCGAAAAACTCCACGAAACTAGCTTATCAGTTGGCGCGAACCCAGTATAATCGTTCAATCGGTTAATGTACTCGCCATTTGAGACCGAAACCAGTTAGTATAATTATACCAAGATAATACAAACGTACTCATAATTCTATATGATTAGTTTTTAAAAAGAAAATAGACAAAATAAATATTTACTTGTGTGATTTTGATATATTCTACAACGCCACTTTTTATTGCTATCTTAACATTAATTGTATGATTTAATTAGTAAGATGTTAAAAATTTTTTATTGTTAGGTCATAATATACCCCAATTTCTCAAAATTTGAGCCAGGCGGAGAAGGAAAATTCATAATAAAAGGAGAACCAAAGACTAAAGTAGGATTGTTTGCAGTTGATAAAGCTCTATATGCGCTGAGGAACGAACATAGACTTACAAAAGAAAAAGTAAGTAGGATTCTACTTTTTTAAAAATCTTTTCTTTTCGTGCTTCTTTCTAGCAATCCCTTTTCGGGTTTGTTCAGTACCGCAAAGGACTAAACAAACACAGTAGCAAGGGTTAAGGTTTGACGTATCTGGAAGTAGTTTCCTGGGAGTTTTCAAATCGTACGGATCTGATCTCATCCGATACTGCTAGATCATTCGGACTATAGTATCAAGTTCTTTGTAATTTAACAGAAAAATAATTTATGTATTAATGAAACTTTTAAACAGTTTGTCTAATTCCACAGTTGTTTACGAGAATAGCACAATCTGATTATGGTTATGGATTAGGAAATGAAATAAATCCCTTAAAGATCCTTTCTGATTCTGGTATATTAATTTTTGGGAATTTCCGAATAGCAAATATGAATGGTCACTCTATAGGTAAAATTCTTTTACACTTGTACATTATTGTAAAGTATAACAAGTAAATTTAATACTAAAATTTCAAAATTTTATTTGATTGAACAAAATTTCTACAGGAAATAATCACTTAAAAATGAGTGGCTTCAAAAAGGAAGAAGACGATGTCGTTATCGATAATGAAATTGATGAAAGCAAGGAAAACGAACCATCAATTCGAAGTGATTTCAGAGAAAGTTGGTTATTCGAAGATTTCGAAATTGGGTATTGTGTTTGGTACAATTGCAGATGTGAATTATGCTGTTGGCAATGTTTGCTATAGGCACCATAACATTGACCGCGGTGCCTATAACAAACATAGATGGCAACAAGATGGCCACCGAAACTGCCGTCATTAGGTTCTACAGTTGGTGGCAAAAATCTTTCGCAAAGGACTTCGTGTAGGACTTTTTTTATTTTCTACCGATAAATATTGTTAGAATCTGTGATAGGCTTGGGTGACTTGCCTACATCTCCTGAAAGTAGGCTTTAGGCTGATTTCGCGGCTATATGTCTGGAAGGGTTATATTCAGAAGTATGATTTCCTTCACATTTTTGTTTGTATGGACATGATCGACAGTTCTGTTAAGGACCCAACAACATTATTCACATCTGCATTCTTACGTTTTATTTCATTTATGTTGGTTGTTTAACACATTATATCAATTTTTCCAGATTATTTCTACTTATGATTAGTTTGAATAGTATACTTTATCCATATCTACTCCATATTCTATACAGTGAAAAACTTCTGCACAGGCACACAGGCGCTCTTTGTACCTCATAAATCAAGGGAGCCTAAAAATTCAACTTTCAAAATAAAAATAAAAATAATTTTACTTAATTATTACTTTTTTCATAATAAAAGAAATTAATAATTTAGCAGCATTCCCTAAATTAAATTGACAAATGAATAATGTCAGCTATGACATTTTTTATGGTCAATGGATTACTAGATTTTTTTATTTTTAACAATTTTACCTATTGAAACATAGTAATTCTTGTACCCAGAAGTTTCAATTTTCATAATTAATACAATTTGAACATCAGTAACGTTTTAAATACAGCAAGGCTGTGTAATTTCATATTGCTTAATTTCTAATGTTGAGTAGAATGCATACTATATGGTGTAAGGACTGTGTGAATATTTAAAGGGGTGCCTTCAAAATTAAATTGTTTTTGGGACCTCACGAGTGCTAAATTCACCACTAATTTTTTATATATATTTTATAAATTTTACATGTTTAAAGCAAAATGTTCCATCACTGCCAACCGGAACCGAAACCAACACTACAAAGAAATGCTAACCTAACCTAGGTTTAATTAACTATAATCAAATCAATCAAGACAAACAATAACTTTATACAGTTTCTGACATATTATCTTTCAATTAATTTGATTTTAATTCTAATTTAAATTAATTAAGTAATTCTGATTTTATTTTTAACTTTAGGTGAAGTTTCAGTATAAAGGTCAAAGTTGTAAGGTTTAATTTAATTTGAAATTTAAACGAAATATTATTAAAGTGAATTATTATTTTCGTCTTGATTAACTAGCTACCTAGTTACGTATAAACACAAATGAATTCCCTGTGCATCGATACTCCCCCATGACAAGTTGGACATGCTGGCTTATCGGTTTTGCCGGCATACCAGATGCTGGCAAACCCGATAAGCCAGCTTGTCTAACTCGTCTTGGGACAGAATACCTTTGTATTTATTCAATTTTCTCTATATCTGTGATGTCGGTCGGCTGACATTTGACAGTAATTTTGCATATTTCTCTTTCCTCGTATCGTCGTTCGTTTTTTTCTCCATATTTTTTTCTCTTTTTTAATGTACTTGTCCCAGATGGCCATGAGTTCAAAATCAGTCATTTAAATTAATTTAATTTTCTATATTTATAATACTAATATGTTTTTTTTTTATTTCCTTTTATTATTTTTCTGACGTGTAATATTTTTTATTATATTCATAACGATATTACAGTTATATTTTCAGTTTTCAGCTATTGCTATAATTTTATATTTAAGTTCAATGGAGCCTTCTGTTTGTCAATTCTTTATGTAGTTTTTTTTTCCTTTCTCCTGATTTTTGGTATACAGTAGGTTGCTACAAGTACATGGAATCAGATAAACCACATTTGCTTTTTTTAACGTCTTGTAAATTTTGTTGTTTCTTCTTTTGGGTTTCCTTATTAGCCAGTTTTTCAGGTAATCAATGTTTTCTTTGTGTAACAATTTGAATTCTATATTTTTTTATTTTGTTTTCTATTTTTTCATACAACTTTTTACAATAGATAATAAGTTCGACGACGTTTTTGTGCGGGCAAATGAATTGTTATATAAACATGTTTGTTTTTCCACGCTTCTTTTCCTTCTCAAATAGAAATGTACCATAAACAAAATTGAAGACAGTCTGCCCAAAAGGGACCACAATTTATTATTTTTGTGTTCCAGACAATACACATTCCTGGCAAGAGACCTTTCCCTGTAGGCTACTTGTTGCCAGAAGTTTAAAAAGTTTTATTTAAAAATAATCTCCATCGGACGAAAATTTACAGAGAAATGTACCAATTTTGGTTTCATTTAAGCTATTCTTTCAAGCTACCAACAGCTCCAAATAAAGATTTTTATTTCATAAACACCCAGTTTTTCAGTAAATGTTTTATAAGTTACAGTAACTCTTGTAATTGGGCAGCGAGATGACCATGACAATTAAGGATTTAGCGTACTATCTTAGGGATTCGAGATCAAATTAAGGCAAATAAACAAGAGTGTTTTTCAATGGAACTCAGACCATAGAAAAATTGGCATCGATTTTCATTTTTTTATCTTTTAATGCACTCATTGAGGGTCCGGAAGAACCAGTAATACACATTGTTAAAGACACTATTCATGCTGACAGCGGATAAAGGTAAAGATGCAGACATCTTAACTCTTTCATCAAGTTCTTCATGAAATTCTCATTTTTTATCAATATGAATCGCTGTCTTCATCAAAATGTTCGTAATCTCCCATATACGGAGTTATACTCGACTTTCCATAGTTTATAATGGATCGAAACGAAGTTTTTATAGGTCAGTAAATAATCTATAACATTTAAGATATGAGAAAAAACTAAACGTTTTATCTGTGTTATTTCATTTTTCTTTTACTTTTCATACTTTATTAGTGCAGCTTTAACACAGCTAAATGAGCAAAGTCTACATTTCTACTTTACTAACTTACTTATATTAAAGTAATTTTAGAAGGCACTGCCCCTGTTTTATATTGAAGAGTATTGGCTGACAATAAAGAGTTTTCTTACAGGCATAATGGAATTTCAGTGGTCAATACGAAATTACCAGACAGCATCACAACGTGGATGATACAAGCTGTTAGTGTTTCACCTCAATGGGGAATCTGTGTTACCGAGGTCAGAGAAATGGAATCATTTAAAAAAATCTTTCTTAAACTGAATATCCCATATTTTCTCGTACGCAAAGAACAGTTAGATTTACAAGCAACTGTATTCAATTATTTTTTGCAGAAAATCCCAGTAAGTACAGTTGACGAATAATTTTATATTTTGTACTTAGTATTTCAAACGTAAATATTGTATTATCTCATAAAATGTCAATTTATGGCTAATATTATACGAAATAATGTTATGTGCATTGATTAATTTTAATTAGCAACATTACTTGTTTAATACAAACTACTATACTGCTAGAGACTAAATTTTTTCATAAAGGTGTTACTGATATTGGGTCCAATAAGATGGTTTAGAATTGAGGAAACTTTGCTTTAATCTGAATATGACAAATTATAGAAAGGATTGAATTGTTGGACTATGGCAAAACAACGCTTAGATGACTTTTTGAGGTGAATAAAAAACTTTCTTTCCAAGAAAACGTTTCACAAAAAATTACCTCTTGTTTAAATGTTAGACATGTGAAAAAAACAAGAAAAACTCTACGTGGCCAGCCCATTGATCAGTTCAAATGCTTGAACCCACGTGGTAGGGAGATTTGTGCTTACAAGATTTTCTATGGAAAACTGGTCCCTATTAAGATGTTAGACATGTGAAGATTATCTGGAAAAATCCGTATGATGGCCGTTTGGTTAGAGCTGAATTCACTACCCTCTATAGGTGTTCAGTGAGATTACAATGGCTGTTTATAAATAGATCAAAATGAAAGCAACATCCTTCAAATAATAATTTCCAAAATTATAGTTTAAAATATTATTTTCGATAAGTAATTCTAATTTTTTCAAAAATTTATATATGTCTGTCTATATTGTTCTGTTACTTTCAAATGGTTTTATGTACATTTAAGAACAGGTTGTTACGTAAAAAATAAGGCGTATTGTATTATTTTAGGTAACTGTTTATATATATGGTGTGAAAAATCTACGTAGTGAAGTAAAAGAAGGAGAGAAAGGCAAACAAAAGATAATCACAATCGAACCTCATTCTACAGGAACAGTGCATTTTTCAATTGTTCCATTAGTGGCTCAGGATTATGTCATTCGTGTTGTAGCTCAAAGTCCTTATGGAGGAGATATCGTGGTCAGAAAACTACATGTAGTGGTAAGATATTTTGTCTTGAAATTTCTGAAATATCGTATAAAACACAAAACACTTTCTTTAGATTTCAGATTAAGCATGAAAATCACATTCATTTCAATGATATATGAAAATATTAAATTTGAGTTTGCAATCCTCTTACAAATCTGATTAAACAATATATTAAAAATGTTCTGTATTTTGAAGAGGAACGAAGATCTAATATTTCACTAACTAATTATGACTCTAACAGATTTCCGTTTCCACGAAGAGTTCGTAGCTAAATACTTATATATTTACAGTTATAATAACTTAAAATTTATTACTAAATAAATTTAAAATATATAAATGGTTTACTTACAAATTAAGACTTAAATGCTGGTATATATAAATTGTGAGGTTTGCAAATACTGTACTATTTTCAGTAATTATTGTAATTCATTTTAATATCAATCAACGGCGTGCCTTAAATTATGCATGGTATATTTATATTTATTTGACGTTGGAGTAACTGCTTGCTGCTCCTGAATAACTAAACGGCGCCACTTTTAGTCATTGTAGTGACCGTTTAAATTATGTGATATTATACCATGCTCGTTTTTTGAGAGCACCAAAGAAAAATTGAGAACTGTATTCCATTTATTTGTGAGCTGAAAGTGTATGAACCACAAACTGTGTGTTGTCGTTTCTCAATGATCTAAACAAGAATAGCAAGCTACGGTTTATTTTTTGTGATGTGGACAAAAAATTTAGTAAATTCCCTCCATCGTTCTGAATGAAATGGAGGGAAATTACTTTTTAATTATGATATGCATACTAAGACGGCCGGATGGCCGAGCGGCCAAGATTGCAGCCTACTGCTCTGGGGGACCCTGGATCGAATCCAGGGTCCCCCAGAGCAGTAGACTTTCTCTGCCCTGTGGGCACTAAGAAAGCCTCTTATAGCAGGCCCATTGTGGGTTCGGCCACGCTCACAATGAGACGACCGGGTGGTGAGGGACAGGTTCCGACATATCCGAACGGACCACCCCTGAAAAATTACTGGGGATTCCTTGACCCGTCTGGATCGAATCCAGACGGGTCAAGGAATCCCCAGTAATTTTTCAGGGGTGGTCCGTTCGGATATGTCGGAACCTGTCCCTCACCACCNACATCGGCAACGATGTTTCTTGTTTTTCTTTTTTGTTGGTTTGTTGGATCTAAAGTGATAAAATAATCCATTTCTTCAGTAACACCTTCAGCCTGAAAATGTTTAAAATAATGTATGCAAATTATGCATTCGTAGATCATATAAAGTTGTTAGAACGTTTATATTTAGGCTATACTTTATTAGTAATTTTTTGCATATTTTTATAAATATGCAAGTCGTATAAATATATCTAAAATATACACTATTAGTAACTTCTAAAACACGTTATTCTGACATTACTAATGGATTTTAGTCTTAGAAATCTATGCACTACTTCTCCCTTTTACAACTTATTTTATCAATGAAGTTGTTATTGGTTAACAGCCGAACCATATATGCTTTCTTTTCTTTTAATTTCGTTCTATGACAACTCTATGGAAAAAATTTTATAAGTACTTTTAACACTTCTATCCATTAGGATGCATATCTGTTTTTTTAATTATACTTTCTCTGCCCTGTGGGCACTAAGAAAGCCTCTTATAGCAGGCCCATTGTGGGTTCGGCCACGCTCACAATGAGACGACCGGGTGGTGAGGGACAGGTTCCGACATATCCGAACGGACCACCCCTGAAAAATTACTGGGGATTCCTTGACCCGTCTGGATTCGATCCAGACGGGTCAAGGAATCCCCAGTAATTTTTCAGGGGTGGTCCGTTCGGATATGTCGGAACCTGTCCCTCACCACCCGGTCGTCTCATTGTGAGCGTGGCCGAACCCACAATGGGCCTGCTATAAGAGGCTTTCTTAGTGCCCACAGGGCAGAGAAAGTATAATTAAAAAAACAGATATGCATCCTAATGGATAGAAGTGTTAAAAGTACTTATAAAATTTTTTCCATAGAGTTGTCATAGAACGAAATTAAAAGAAAAGAAAGCATATATGGTTCGGCTGTTAACCAATAACAACTTCATTGATAAAATAAGTTGTAAAAGGGAGAAGTAGTGCATAGATTTCTAAGACTAAAATCCATTAGTAATGTCAGAATAACGTGTTTTAGAAGTTACTAATAGTGTATATTTTAGATATATTTATACGACTTGCATATTTATAAAAATATGCAAAAAATTACTAATAAAGTATAGCCTAAATATAAACGTTCTAACAACTTTATATGATCTACGAATGCATAATTTGCATACATTATTTTAAACATTTTCAGGCTGAAGGTGTTACTGAAGAAATGGATTATTTTATCACTTTAGATCCAACAAACCAACAAAAAAGAAAAACAAGAAACATCGTTGCCGATGTTTTATCAGGTGTATATTTGATATATTTATGTTTTACTCTTAGAATATTTAATTCCAATTAACTACTGTTATGTTAGAGAATTTTTAATCTTAACAATTATATTTGTTTATTTTATTTAATATTTATAAATGGCGTAAATGTAATAAAAAGTAAAAGACGTAGCAGAATTTTTCGAATTTCGTTCGGTAAATTGAGTAAATATTAAATGTTTTCGGTATATATTTTTAACGTATGGTATATGTTTCATCGGTATACCATGTAATTTTATTTGTGTTCATTTTTAGACTAAAGTGATTGCATTACAAGCGTTATCACAGTATTTAATAGCATCTAAACCCAGAGACATATCTCTAACGTGCAATATTTCGACGAGTCATAACAAAGAATTGGTGAAAACGGTGAAAATTAACAATGAAAATGCCTTTGTCCTTCAACAATTAGAGGTAAGCAAAATATTTGTATAAATTTTAATAAATCGATATAGGCCTATTTTTGAAAAGCTTCGTCCATGTTTAATGTCTTCTTCTATATCAATTGGACCCGTAGTTTATAATTTTCTCTATTTTCAGCGGTCTTAAAAATTTTAAGACAAGAAAACACAACGGCGATTTGCTGACATGGCAAATCGCCGGTGTGAAATTTAACCCCTATTTTATTTATGCACACATTATGTAAACCCGGCAAGCTCCATATGATCATCCCTATGGTGTGAAAATGACAAACACGAGTGTTCAGTGGTTTTAGCCATCCGGCCATTAGCTACTATCATAGGGAAAATTGCTTAGTGTCTGTGACATATGTACCGCTTTTGGTTTTCCGGTGAAGTATTATTTAATGCTGTTTTCTTAAGTTATGTTTGTGGTTATAGCTTCCATTTTCACTTGTATTCAATTGTTCTTTCATTTAATTCAAATATTTTCGATTATTCTCTCAACATATCAAGAAGCAGTCTATTAATTGCACAGTTTTGGAGCCAATTTTGACTCTTTTTGTTTACATACTGTGCTTTTTACGACCTCTTTCTTATGGAAGTCACAAAATGTACCTACAAATTATAAAGTAGGTATATTTTCAATAATAAAAAATTTAAAAAGTTTTTTGTACAGGTAAAGAAACTAAATGGAATCTTATATGTCAACGTGAGTGGAAAAGGAGTTGGATCATTATCAGTAAAATTAAGATATAATGTAGCAAATGTTGGATATCAAATATGCAATGTAAGCATTTTTAACGCAAATTTATTATGATATAAATAGATGATTTTAAATTTCAATTATGAGATTAAACGTGTGAATTCAGAAAAGACTTTGGCTAAATTTGCTTATTTATGTTTATTAGTACAAAATTACTGTACGTGTTTCTAAAGTAAAGGAGCAGTTTTCAGTACAGAAGAATGGCATTCATTATGAAGAAGGAAATAAAACAGGTAATATTTTGCAGTTATCCTAAGGTTAGCATGTCAGATTCAATTTTGAATTTAATTTCGTTTATCAAACAAAATTTGACTAAAACGTTAGGATATACCGATTCATGGAAAATTACCATAATTTTGAACACTTATGAAGCAAACACTATAAAAGTATTGAAATAATGGGCACTATCCTATGTAATACGTCTCATGTTAGGCATGTTCTAAAGTTACTTTTTACCTTATTATTTTTTATATGTGCTGTATTTATACACTGGCAGACCTAGAAAAGGTATTTGAACGCCTTGCAATTCAGCAATTAAGAACTCCTCATTTAAACTATCTTATTTGCGTTGTGCAGCTCACACCGCTGGCACACGCGGAATGTACCCAACATCCGCGGAAATACAAAGGTCGGCAATATGTAACGCAGAATCGCCTATAACTCATCAGTTTTCAAAGGCTTAATCATAAAAGTTAGTGGGTAGAAACTTTGGACCTTTGTCTTTAGAGAACTGTCACTCAATGTAGGATCTATTGGTTTCACTACATGCATTCAAGGTTGATTCTATGACATGAAATCACGTTGGTAAACTCAGCAGGTTGATATTCACACCACTTCCTCACACATGCAATGAGTTCTGTGCCACTCAGAAATACTGTCCTAAGTCGATGTGCCTACAGACGACCAAATACAAAATCTGATGGATCCTAGTTCTGAGCTTCTCGAATGATAAACGATAACTGTCTTTGTTAATGGTGGCAATTTCGAGATAGAGATAGAAAACCTCTGTTACCTACCGGTGATATAGTAGATTGTCTATTTCACCATCAATTACTCGTCATTTGCATAAAATAAAAACAATTGTTAATGTTCGCTTGGAAGCGAAAAAATGTGAATTCTAAATACCGAATTTCATGCTTAAAACATTACAAATGAAAATGTTTTGTGTTTCTGCGTTACTTCTTAACCGACTTTTAAATGTTTTTAGCACGCATTAGAACTCTTCACTATGTTGAATGGTTACTGAATTTTGATTTTCTAACATGTTTAACGTAACTATAATAATTTATATAATTCTCCGTAGTGTATATTTGTCTAAAAATATGTTTATTTATATTTTTTTATATTTCGTAATTACAAATGATTGAAATACAAACAAGATCCAGAAGTATACAGATCTGAATGCNCACTATTATACATTTAATATATATTATAATTTACATAAATATTAATTTACTTATTACAGGATATAAAAGAGCATTAACTTTTAGAAAACAGGATGGCTCATTCAGTATCTGGCCACAAAAACCTTCAAGCATTTGGTAAATAAATTTTTCAATCTATTATAATACAGTATATATACTTTTTCAATATTGATGTTATTCATGAAAATGTCTGACCCAACAGTAAGAATAAGTGGAATATATTTATTTGTGCATTAATTATCATATAAATATTATTTCTTGTAGGTTAACTTCGTTTGTTACGAAACTATTTTTTCAAGCCAGCAAAATAATTTATATAGACGAAAATGTCACCCGCAAAGCTATACAGTGGATAATTTCTAAACAAAACTCTGATGGCTCATTCGAGGATCCTTATTCCGTTATAACAAGAAATACAATGGTGAATTTTAACAATATTTACAGAAAAAATTTCAGTAAGTAAATTTGACTATAAAAGTAATTACTGTATTTCTAAAGCACGGAAGCGACGGAAAAGTCTCCATGACTGCATTTGTTCTAACCGTATTGCGAGAATGTAAATATAATTCATTAGTGAGTAGCGTAATATTTTTTATTTACACATTAAAAATTAAATTAAATTCATTATATGTAATCTATATCTTAGTATTTGATATCTAGAATATAAATGATACCCAACTGAGAGCAAAATCATTCTTGGAAAAGCAGTATGAATCCATAAATGATCTGTATGTTATGGCATTAACTGCTTACGCACTCGCAGTAACAAATAGCCAGAAAAAGCATCAAGCAAACGACAAACTTTTGAAAATGTCAAATTACGATAAAGGTAAATTTATTTTTAATTAATAATTCTATAAAAATTTGAGTTATAAATTGGCACGTTATGAATTGAGATTCGTTTCAAATTACTTTAAATAGGACTAAATCATAGATATTGGGCTAAATCTTCAAAAACCGAATCGATAGAAATTACTTCGTTTGGTCTTTCGACTCAGCTCGAATTAGGGAATATGTCAACGTCTCTTTCAATTGTGAACTGGTTGAATACACAACGTCTTGATAACGGATTCTACTCTTCTACTCAGGTATTTAAGAATTTCATTGTCAAACTAACAATTACGTAGTCGAAAAATTTTTATAATTTGAAGAGAAAAAGGTATGACGAATACATTAATATATACACTAAATGCATAGAAAAAATTGTCATTTTTTCTTGTGCATTTAGTGTATATTCATTTCGTGCTCTGTATAATATATAAGTTTAACTTATACAATGACAAATAATCGTGTTGTAACTTAAAACTCTCAAATTTAAGTGCTTTCTAGTGTCATTATTTTAATTTCCTAATGCGATATTTGCATGAAACGTTTAAATAGATTTTAATTCTGTTTTTTGCTGCTTCCAGAGACAGAAGTCTGTTAGTAAACAGATTTGCAACTAAATATTTTATTGATGCACAATTGTAATTTATTGATGCACAAAACAAATTGTAGTTGTAACTAAAGACTGGATAATAATGAAAAAATTAGAAATCATAAATAAGAAAAATTTCAGAGAACTACCGATAAATCCAAGAAAAATAATATATGAAGAATTAAAAAAACGAATTAATATACTACACAAACAAAAAGAGGTTACAAAAAACGAAAAGATATTTATACTATCCGAAGATAACGAAAGAACCCCTAGACTAAACATTCAACTAAAAACTCATAAACAAAATGAAAAGGTACGACCAATTGTTGACTTCAAATTTACTGTACTGTATAACTTAGAGAAATATTTAAAGGAGAAACTTAAAGATTATGAAAACTCAATTTATTCTATTAAAAATATGGAAGGATTTTTACAAGAATTAAAAAAAGTTCAGATAAATAATACATCTAAGCTAGCTAGTATTGACGTTGTCGAAATGTATCCGTCAATCACATGGAAATTGATTAACAATCAGTTAAACAAAATGAATGTAGAACCTTATATTATAGATTTGATTGAGTTTGCCTATAAGAGTAACTATCTAGAATTAAATAATAAATATTACACGCAAGAAGATGGCATTAGTATGGGGTCAGTTATAGGACCGAAATTAGCGGAATTAATAATGATTGAAATTGACATGAAAATAAAAAACATTTTAGGCATAAATTTCTATAGAAGGTATGTTGATGACATACTAATAGTATATAATGAAGCTGAAATAACAACAGACAAGATAGAAGAATTAATAAATGGTATCCATAATGAAATCAAGTTTACTATAGAAAAAGAAACAACTGATAACAGCATAGCATACCTCGATGTGATGATTAAACGGAGAGAAAGAAAATTAATACTTGAACCTTTTAGAAAACAATGTTCAGTCAACAAGACATTGAATTACCGTTCGAATATCCCTTTACATATAAAAAAGAATATCTTTTATATGGAATATACGAATATACTTAGTAGAACCAGTGAACAAGAGACAAAACAGAAATATATAAACAGTCTAAAAAAGAAATTTAGTTTGAATGGATATCCTACAAGATTAATCAACAATTGGCAAAAAAACATAGATAATAAAGTTCCTTTTCCTTCCAAAAAAGATGCAGAAAAGAAAATTAAATACTTAAGCTTTCCATATATAAAACATGTATATGAAAAAATTAATAAAGAACTTAGGAAAAATAACATACAGCTCGCACCAAATTATAAAAATTTAATATCTAGATTAAATAAGAAACAATGTTCAACAAATAATATAGAGGATAAAAATGAAATTAAAAATGTTGTCTATAAAATACCCTGTACTTGTAAGAATAACAGTTTTTACATAGGAGAAACAAAAAGAACATTAAAAACACGTGTTAAAGAACACATATCCGATTTAAAATATAGTCGTCTGAACTCCGCTTTTTATGATCATTGTGTAATCAATAATTGTAATATAAACCAATCAAATATACAAATTTTACATAAAGAAAAACGGATTTATGACAGAAAATTTAAAGAAAGTGTGGAAATATTACGAAACAAAAACCAAGGCTGTATAAATAAAAACTTAAGTGTTAAAATTCATGAAAATTGGTTAAAAATATTATAATGAAATGTACTAGATTAATACAATTTATAATAATAGAATGGTAAAAAAGAATTATTTAATGAAACAATGTTCTGTATTAACGTCATATGTAAATTAGATAATAAGAAAATATGCAGAGTAAACTTTAAGAGAAATAGTGATTTATTGTATAAAAAAATTAAAAATTTTTTTGTAATTTCCTTAGGGATTTTCAAATGTTTGTCGATTAATTTGTTAACTAGTATAACTTACGGCACATAGTGCTATATGCAAATTGTCGGATCAGTCGACGAGGTGGCAAAAAAAGACTTTTGAAATTTGTAAGTTTTAGTTTTTTAAAATCTGCAGAGTTTATCTTGTTTATGTAATAAAACGTAGAAAAAGTTTTGTTTTTAACCTGTATAGTTAAAATTGTGATAAAAAAATTGATAATGAAAATGTTAAAAAAACCTAAGTGTAGTCCGATTTCTACTGTATGTGCAGTGTCCATGCTGAAATGAGGTATGGTTTACAAAGAATTTATGTGAGTTTTTTTGGTTTTTATTTGTGTCCTGTTAAATATTTTTATATATATTTAGTTAGCTGAAGAGGGGCTGATGCCCGAAACGTTGATGTATGGAAAAAACGTACACTGGGCTAGTTGAATAAAAGATTCAACTAGCCCAGTGTTGAGAAAAACGTCACTTCATTGTGCCTGTACACAATAAATATTTTATAATGAAAATTCTTAAGCAATTTCTTTAATGTAGCGACACAATGTTATGTATTTGGACTGCTAAATAACTCTATAGGAAGAGTTGAATAGGGGTACAATAATTATAATTATTTAATATTTTTAAATGGCGTAAATGTAATAAAAAGTAAAAGACGTAGCAGAATTTTTCGAATTTCGTTCGGTAAATTGAGTAAATATTAAATGTTTTCGGTATATATTTTTAACGTATGGTATATGTTTCATCGGTATACCATGTAATTTTATTTGTGTTCATTTTTAGACTAAAGTGATTGCATTACAAGCGTTATCACAGTATTTAATAGCATCTAAACCCAGAGACATATCTCTAACGTGCAATATTTCGACGAGTCATAACAAAGAATTGGTGAAAACGGTGAAAATTAACAATGAAAATGCCTTTGTCCTTCAACAATTAGAGGTAAGCAAAATATTTGTATAAATTTTAATAAATCGATATAGGCCTATTTTTGAAAAGCTTCGTCCATGTTTAATGTCTTCTTCTATATCAATTGGACCCGTAGTTTATAATTTTCTCTATTTTCAGCGGTCTTAAGAATTTTAAGACAAGAAAACACAACGGCGATTTGCTGACATGGCAAATCGCCGGTGTGAAATTTAACCCCTATTTTATTTATGCACACATTATGTAAACCCGGCAAGCTCCATATGATCATCCCTATGGTGTGAAAATGACAAACACGAGTGTTCAGTGGTTTTAGCCATCCGGCCATTAGCTACTATCATAGGGAAAATTGCTTAGTGTCTGTGACATATGTACCGCTTTTGGTTTTCCGGTGAAGTATTATTTAATGCTGTTTTCTTAAGTTATGTTTGTGGTTATAGCTTCCATTTTCACTTGTATTCAATTGTTCTTTCATTTAATTCAAATATTTTCGATTATTCTCTCAACATATCAAGAAGCAGTCTATTAATTGCACAGTTTTGGAGCCAATTTTGACTCTTTTTGTTTACATACTGTGCTTTTTACGACCTCTTTCTTATGGAAGTCACAAAATGTACCTACAAATTATAAAGTAGGTATATTTTCAATAATAAAAAATTTAAAAAGTTTTTTGTACAGGTAAAGAAACTAAATGGAATCTTATATGTCAACGTGAGTGGAAAAGGAGTTGGATCATTATCAGTAAAATTAAGATATAATGTAGCAAATGTTGGATA